TTTAGATCGGCGGTTCGTAACGGCGCGACGGCCCCCGGTGGAAGTTTTTAACGCGCCGACTGCCGGCGGTCGTTGAAATTTCACGGTTCATTGTTGCCGAATGTCCCGATTTTCCGGTTCGGTTAATGACGTTCTTTTTCCTGTTGAGCACCGGTGACGGATGGAAAATGCGCGGAAGATAAATTGTTCCGTCTGTTAATTGATCGATCATTGCCCGAGCCGCGGCGCGGCGCGGCGAATCGCGGCGGTATCCGCGCGCATTTATCTTCGCCGATTGCCGGATGCGTTCAATTTTTTCCCATCGTGTTGCACCCGGCATGCGGCAGGCGTTTTCGACCGGCTTCCTCGAGTGGCTCCGCTGGAAAACGTTCCTCGACAGTTTCACCGGCAGCCGGACATTCGCCGACGAAATTCCACGGGTTCCTCCAGCCCGGAGACGATTTTAATTTCGGCCCCTCGCTATTACGAGCTGTCCGCGTTGTCGCGGACGTCCGGGGACCGCCAGAAATCGGACATTGTTTTCATTCCGATGCGAACTTTCCCAGATTCCTCGTCGCTGGAAGCGCTATCACGGCCCGCTCTGTTTCTCCCGTGGCCGAGCCGAGCGGAGCCGAGCCGAGCCGAGTCGGAACAATTGCCGCGGAAGCCGACGCGCGAATTTTTTAATTCGCGCCCGAACGGTCAAAGGCCGGTCGTGGTCGTGGCACCCGAGGGCAAAGGGAAAGTGCGATTACTAATTATACGAATTTGAAAGCGAGATCAAAGGCGCCGCCCCGCCGCCCCGCCGCACCGCGCCGCGTCGCGCCGCACCGCGCGAAACGAAAGTATTTGGCCGCGGCCGGTGCATTTGTCATTGAGATCCAGCATCGGCCCGTAAACGTTTGCCATGGAACGCTGCGTGCGCTTTCTGGCTCGAGTGCATAACACTCGACGGTCGCACCGAGTGCACTGCCAATTCTTAACACCTTTCTGCACGCTTCTCTCGAGCCTTTTGTTCTCTGCAAACTCTTTCGCGTAATTATTTGTAGAATGGTCGCCGGTCGAGTGCGAATACTTGCGGAAATTCTGTGTTCGCAAGGTTTCACTTGTCCAAGATTTTCCACTCCGAATGCCGTGCCTTTATCAAGTTGCGACACCATTGACTCGTCTCTTTAAAACATTTCTATAATTGATAGAGTCTATCCATCGATATGCTTCTACTTATCGACCCTTTGCCGTGCTTTAACGAGTCAGACTCGTGGCAGAGATTTCTAATAATAAGCTGTTCGATATGAATGTTGCACCGTTCCTTTAAGCATCGATCAAATTCTATCCTCTTGTCATCGATATTTGAACATTCGAATAGATGTTAACATACAATAAATATAAATAATTACACGATAAATAATTTCTTCTTAGAAATAATTGCGATCGAAGAAGTTCTAATCATTGCAACTATCTGACTATTCGAGACCACATAATTCGCAGGACATTTTTCTGCGAATAGATAATTGGTCCTGTAAGGTTCCCATTAGATCATACATCGTTTCGGACAGATATAATTACGGCGGGGGAATTTTATTCGAACGAATAAACGGAATAGGCACGCAATCATTGGAATACTTTCGCGCGCCGGTCGCAACGGTCCTTTTTGCCACGAGAAAGAAATATCTCCGGCCGGCTAATAATTATAATCGGGCCCGTTTCGCCAGCGTCCGATAGCGCTTCGATTTCCCATAAAAATCCGGAGCCGTCGCGGCGCCCTTTTCTTCTCGTTCACCTTTTTATCGGTCGACGTGCAAATGCGCGGTTCGTTGCGTACGCGTTGTTTTCGAGCCCCTCGTTCCCGCCGGCCTTTTGCACCCCCTGCTCCACCGGTCGCCACGCCCACGCGTGTTTTTCGCACGGCTTCGAAAAACCCGACAACTTTTTAGCAGCTGCTGTCGGCGATCTTTTTTTCCTTTGCAGCTCGCACCTTTTTTCGCGGGCCGGCTTAATGGCGTCCGCTCCGATTTCAGCCCCGGGCAGGTGTAACGTGTCGCCGTTTCGCAAACAGGGACCGACCGTGGTCGAGCGGCTCGGCTCGGCTCGTCCGTTCGTTCGATTCCTCCTACCTCGTGCTCGGTTCGATCGGCGATTCTATTTTAATAAATATTTTTTTTATCGTCGAAAACAGAGCGCGAAGACACGGACGGGAGAGGGAGGGGCGCGGCATAAATCGAGCAGAACCGCGCGGACCCGGTGAATTTGCTTTCGGGGGATTTTCTGCTCGTTGGTTTATGGTACACAATCGGTTCCGATGGGATTTAAATCGGAACAGCGGCGAAGTTAACGCGGAATTTAGAGCCGAACGTGTTTTTCTTTCCACACGTTCCCACCGGTGGTGGCGTCCCTGTTTGGATTCTCGGGCTTTCTTACCGATGCCCGACTATTGCACACGCGAGACCTTTCGCGAAATTCCTAGGAAATCGCGAGAATAATTCGTACGCGAAGCGAACACGAAGTCACGTATCATTCTTCGGTACTTTTTGTTGAATGACGAATCGAGTTCAGCCCGACGCAAACTAACGCTGAAACGAAATGATTAAACCACGGTGCGAGTTCCCGTGGCATACAATTTCTTCCAGTTCCTCGTCGCTGATCTTCTCCGCAGACTTCTAGTCGCCATAAGTAAGTTCCACAAGTTTTACCAATCTGTCCGCCGTACATCCCGATCATTATTTAAAGAGAGAACTCTTCGTATATCCCTTTGTTGTAACGAAGGAAGCTCGTTGTCGGTGATTTTATCAGGATTCATGCTCGAAGGGTGCTGCTCGGAAGGCTACTTTCTATCAAACCGTTGACGTTACAAATTACCTCGCGGAGCACGGTGCCCGAGGTTCTCCCAGTATTTAACCTCACGCAGACTCCCGTTTCATCGCATATTAATAACCCTCGCAGGTGGTAGCCAACACCCCGCGCGCGCGCGCGCTCGAATTTGTTACACTTCCCGAAAGTTCCCGGAGCTGTAAATTCTACGTGCGAGCGGGCCAACAGTTTCTTCGCCTCGCGGCACGCCTTTGACGTAACTCTCGTCGCGTCGCGCGTTGCCCAACTTGCTATCGCGACCTTTCCTCCTACGCGCGCCTTTCGTCGTTCCACTATGCGCGAAACCCGACAAGGGACCGAGAAAGGGACTGCCGAATCATTTTCGAGAATTACGGGAACTTTGGAAGTTCGTGGACATAAAAGTACCGTTCGACCGTTCCGTATCCTGAAATTCTGCATCGGTGAAATACGGTAAATATTCCCTAATTTTCCTTCGGCTTTTAACCCTTGGCGCTCCGTTGGCTCCGCTGTGGAGACAACCGTCATTTGTTCCGTAAATCCGAAGGCTCTGCTGCGGGGCCCAAGGTTTTTAGCACGATTACGTTTTCGTCGACGTTGGCAATTGTTATTTGTAGCGAAAACGTGCTTGGCGTGTGCACCATTACGATTCAAACATTTTTTGCCCATTTTTATACTTGGCAACATAAAATAAATAAAATAATAATCCTTGCTTTCGCAAGGACGTGTAATCTTTTCCGCTCAAAGTAAGACTTCCTTTGTTTCATGCGTTTCGCTTCAAAAATGTGCCGGAGTTGCTGGTAGGTGGTACTCGAGAAACGCGCGGAGCGCTAAGGTTTAAACAAAAATGGACAATTCGGGAAGAGTAGGTACGAGGGGCCAACAACGATCTCAACGAAGTAAGTCGAAGAGGCGAATGAAATGCTCTCGTTTGGAATACGAGGAAAACGGTGCATTTTGCTTAAATGCAGTCCCATCCGGCGGCCAATATAAAACGAGACGACGGTGGCTGTAAGCGAGGAGACAGCCGGGTCACCTTTCGACGGGGTTGCTCGTGGAACGCGAGGCGCGGGAATAAATTGATCGGGGAACAGCTCTCGCGAAAGAGGATCGTGACTCGTGACTGGCAGCGGCCGCGCAATCTCCTCNTGTCGACGCTGGCAATTGTTATTTGTAGTGAAAACGTGCTTAGCGTGTGTACCATTACGATTAAAACATTTTCTGCCCATTTTTATACTTGGCAACATAAAATGAATAAAATCAAACGCTTTCGCAAGGACGTGTAATCTTTTCCGCTCAAAGTAAGACTTCCTTTGTTTCATGCGTTTCGCTTCAAAAATGTGCCGGAGTTGCTGGTAGGTGGTACTCGAGAAACGCGCGGAGCGCTAAGGTTTAAACAAAAATGGACAATTCGGGAAGAGTAGGTACGAGGGGCCAACAACGATCTCAACGAAGTAAGTCGAAGAGGCGAATGAAATGCTCTCGTTTGGAATACGAGGAAAACGGTGCATTTTGCTTAAATGCAGTCCCATCCGGCGGCCAATATAAAACGAGACGACGGTGGCTGTAAGCGAGGAGACAGCCGGGTCACCTTTCGACGGGGTTGCTCGTGGAACGCGAGGCGCGGGAATAAATTGATCGGGGAACAGCTCTCGCGAAAGAGGATCGTGACTCGTGACTGGCAGCGGCCGCGCAATCTCCTCAAAGAAGAGGCCGCATCTCGTCGCATCTCGCCGCGCCGGCAGTTAAGGACTGGCTGGCTGCTCGCTGAGCAAGCCCGTCCCGTCGCACCTTTTACTTCCGTCGTATTACGTTTTTATGGGGCGCTGGTCAACGCTTCGAGCGACCGTAAAAAACGGCAGGGGGGCAGGGCGAACGCATGCTTTATGGTTGTTGCACGGCGGACCTCGTAAATCGCGCGTTGCCCGCTATAGCGAAAAGAGAAAAGGCGTCCGAGGAATTACACCGTTCCGCTCCTTTTTCACGGCACTAATTCACCGTGCGTTAGTTAAAGCCCGGGCTCGCTTGTTTGCGAGCGCTCGCGCGTGTCGGAATTTATCGCGAGGCGCGGCGAGGCGAGGCGAGGCGAGCCGTGCGAGCATATTTTTATAAGCTGCCCGGATAATCCGGCCGGGATCGCGACGGAGGACTCCGCGGGAGGCTCCAGATACCGGGGAGAAGATCCGAACACTTACAGGTTGATCCCGTCGTAGCCGGCTCCTATGCCCACGTGGTCGATGCCAGCGATCTTGCGAATATGATCGATGTGGGCTGTAACAGAAGTTTACGAGCAGTGTTAGCTTTTATGCGGAGCATTCGCGACCGAGCTGCTTTACGCGCTCGTTTCCCACTGGATCGTAATTAAGGACCTTATTGGATCCGCGGGCTTAGCTACTTTATCGTCATAAGCGTCCGTGGAAATTGCTCGGTGATGCGAGCTCTGGCAATATCACTTTGCGAAGAAGTCTTTATCTTCTATAACACCGGCAACCGCGTAAATTTGCAGCACGGTGGCGCGATCGAGCTTACGCTGTTTGTCGTTCCTTCGAACCGAGCATCGTCTTTTTTAACAATTCAGATTTCACTGTGCGGAACCGCGATTCGGATACACGCGGAAATATATCCGACTCGTTTTTACCGATGGGAATGGTAAAAGTGGAGTTTGAAGCGATCCAGTCGAGTTTTCTACTCTGGCGAAACGACGAAGGTCCGTTTGAAAGATCACTTCAAAGTTGCTTCGTCGTGTATCACTCTCGAACGACGTAACCCGGTACATATGTATAACGCGGCTTCGATATTTTTCAATGCGTACTGTTGAACGGAACACGAGGCAAAAGCGTTCCTTGTGATTCTCAGGTGGCGGCAGTTTCTCACGTGCCGCCTTAAGTACAGAAACAAAGTAGTAACTTCGATGTACAGACGCTCCCTAACCGACGCTGAGATTGTGCACAAAAATGGACAATTTTGGAAGAGGAGATACGATTATTCGAGCCTCGCAGCTCGTTTTTATAGTTGTTGACAATTCGTGACTATAAATATGAACCGCGAATAATCGTATCTCCCCTCCCTAAATTGTCCATTTCTGTGCACAATCCGAGCATCGATTAGAGAGACATTACTGTACCGTTCTGGCAGACGTATTCGCTCTTCGCTAGTAATCGTTCGTTCGTCCCTATCGAAGAAAATGTACGGCCTCTTGCGAACAGACAATTGATATCGAAGCACGTGTGCAACAGTGTTCAGAATATTTGTGCGCTCATTGAATAATGTATTAGTACGTTTCGACAATAATTTATTGGTTGCAGCCAGAAGCGAAGGAACGAACGAACGAACGAAACAAAGTTGCTTTTGCTTTAGCAAACATGTATTCGAACGATCGAGAAATGGAGTAACGTATCATGCAACTCGCCGCGTCTTGCAATTTGTGGAAGAGAACGTTGATTTCGTCGAATTCGATAGAAAAATAACGGCATTGAAATTCTTGCGGAATAAATCGTCTCGCGACGGCTCGAAATGCGGGAGAGTCGCGAGACGTTTCTCTCGGTGTTGGTTTCCATTAATAATATCCGATGCGGAACGTCGCCGCAATCGTCGCATCAGCGACGATCCATCGAATCGGACGACGACGAGACGCGACGCGACGCGACGCGTCTTCGGCGTGCAACCGACGTTCCGCAAACAAGAGGATCGCGCGTCTTCCGCGCGTTAAGTGCAAACGTCAGTAACACGCGAGAGGTAAACGCGGCGTTATCGACGCTCCGCGCCGCGCCGCGCCGCACGAACGCATCACTGAAACCGCACGATTCGGTGCCGGGACCTCGGGAGTCGCGGTCACGGTCGAATCGCTTTATTATTAACTGGCTGCTAATTGTTGTTGCGCGGCGGATGACCAGCGAGAAAGAGAGACAACGAGGGAGAGAGAGAGAGGATCGATCAGCGTAATATCGTCGATGGAACAGGACGATTCGACGCATTCGCGCGACAACTGCTCGAACGATTATCGCGATTCGGTTTAACGCGGAGCTTCCTGCTCGCAAGCATAATTTTCGTCGCCGCTTCCTCTGCGCGCCACGCGATTTAAAGCGCGGAAATGGATTGTTACTCGGTTCTGCGGTCTCCCATTTGGCCCTTGGAAAATGCGGGCAACGGAACGCCGCGTCGCGCCGCTTCGTGCGCGTTTGCTCGTGAAAGCGTATGCGTATTAAAGCGGGCACATTTTTGCCCGGCGCGCCGTAATCGGACCCGCGAACCGGAGAGTTGAAACTGGACGTGATAATTTCGATTCCGCTCGGGAGATGATATAGTTTCAATGTCGGCAGAGGTCGTCGCTTTTTTAAATATTAAATCGCTTCGGAAGCGAGCACGATTTTAGTCGCTTCGGCCTTTCGTCTTCGTCGCGGCGCGTATTCTCTATAAATAAAATTTAAGAGAACGTCCGAACGCTTCGAGAATACCAAAGAGAAAGACACGAATCTTCTTCGTTCCCGTTATTCGAGATTCAAAAATCTTGTCGACGATCCGCCGTCGAGAAACGTGTCCGCACCGAGAAGTCGAATGTTCGGAATCCGCGCCGTCCCCGGCGCCCGGTCGCCCGAATTACGCGCGATCGACGTTATCTTGAAATCGTGACCCATATACGGAACAGCGGATTAACCCGTTAATTCTCGTTTTAGCTCCTCTCGACGGTTCCAATCGTCCCGAAACACTTCTCGCCGCCACAGGGTTGCGCAACAATAAACCAATCCATATCATTTACGGGGCACGCTCTCGTCGTTCTATTCGCGGCCGAAAAGGAGGTCGGAAGATCCATTCTTCCGCGGGTCCCGACTAAATTCGGCCGGGCTCGTTATACCGTCGAATAAAACATCGACCGGCGACGACGGAATAAACGACAGGCTAAAAGTTTGAGCCAGACGTTACGATTTAATCGGGCCTCGCCGTCCGTCCCTTTCGTCGCCTTATTACTTATTTCGACGACCCTCTTCGGGATTTAACTTCTTCTTTTTTATCGCCGGGTATCTCGAGAAACACTGTCTCGGAGAGACGAACGTCGAGGAGGAGCGGTCTCGGAAAAGATTGGGCGCGCGACCGATCATTGGAGTTCATGGGAACCCGGTGCTGGGCCGGGACGGATCGACGTTGCTCGAAGGAATACGCGAAGGGGCCGGATTTACATCGGATCGTCCGCGAACGAAATTCGCAACACCTGGAAGAGATGTTCCAACGTTTCAAGCTTTCGTTCTCCTTTTTTCTTTTTTTTTTGTCGCCGACGAGCGACGATATTTGCCTCGTCGCATTTGGTATTCCCGGCGCCGGGGCAGACGCGAAGGTTAACACGGGATCGCGCGAAACTGGTAATCCCCGGTTCGGTATTTCACTTTGCGGGGGTGCGAAAATCACCGCGCAAACAAACCCCAGGGATACGGCGCGGCGTTTCGTCGAGGGAATTTTCGAATCCCGATCGAAACGTTGCATCGCGGAGCGCGCCGGTTACGCTCGGACACGCTCCTGCCGCGCGCCGGATTATTTATTCCAACTTCGACGATGCTCGTCCCTGAATAATTTGTTACACCGCGATAAATCCTGTATTATTTGTAACGCTCGTTGCCCGCCGGTAAATTAATCTTTTCATCGTGCGTTTTTCTTCGGCGAAACGCGGTCAATCTCGAATGCGATCGAATCCATTCAACAGATTAAAGGGGATCCGATTGGATAATAAGTTTTGCTGGCAGTATTTCCAGTTCGATCGGGATCGTAAATTTTTATGCAACTCGGAATTTATGAGACTCGAGCGGACATTTAGGAATGGTGATTATTTTTATTACAAAAAGTTCTTTCGTTAACGAGAGTATGTTCTTGGTAAATCATCTATACGGAAACTGTTTAAGTAATCATTTCGTTCGAACAACGGATGTATTGCGAAAGGTTTGTTTATACATGAAAGTTGCACAAATGGTGGATGCTTCCATTAAAAATTCGTCGAATAAAATTATTTAGTCGCCGAACACGCGCCGAGGGGAATAAGGAGAATTCGATTCCCCCTGCTAAGACGTCGTTCTTTCGTATATTTCCACGAGTTCAGTGGTGCGAGTCGATCATAGCACGTCCGAGTAGCATCGGAAGGTGCGATCGAACAATCCCGAAAGAAATCCGCGAAGAGAAGTTCGACGTGCTTCCGGGTCCGCCGAGTATAATTAGCGTCGGTCGTGGAAGATCGTGGAATCGTTTCAGCGATCGGAGCAGTTTTCCGGCCCGGTTGGCGCACGCTCCGACGAAACTCGGACGGAAAACGCGAGCAGCGGGGAAAGTGTATCGCGGGAACAGATAGAGAAAGAAGGAGGGAAGAAGAGGGGGGGGGGCAAAGAGAAATGCTAAGTTTCGCGTTCACGTTGAAATTCTAAAGTTACCTGGGTTCCCGTCTCATGAATCACAAAGGCCGCGCGGATATGAAAGTGCAATTGCCCGTTGCCGCTGCTCCCTCCACGCTCGCATTCGATGAGAATACCACTTTTTTCTTTCTCTCTCTCTCTCTCTCTCGCTCTCCCTGCTTCGCCGTCTCTCGTTCTCCTTCTTTTTTCTCCGTTTCGCTGTCTCTTTCCGCCGAGAATTGCGGCTTCGGAACAGACTGCCGTATAAATTCGCTTTTGCCTCGAATTTCATTTCGAGCCGGCGAAAGAAAACTACGTTCCGAGAGCGTCGCCATCCTAATCCAGCGATTGAACGACCGATCGATGACGTACTCATTGACACTATTACGCTGTCGCGGATCAATTTCCGCGGCGCGAGGATGCACTCGAGCTCGGCGCGGCGCGGCGCCACGTTATGGGATTAAACTGCCATCGAAATTGTTGATGCTCGTGGTCGATCCTGCGATCGTTCGAGCCTTGAGAAATTTACACGTACTGTGTCGACTAGTGAATACTCGAAGGACCACCTCCCTGGTCAGGAGGAACAAACTTTACACCGTGAGTGAGGCAAAACAATTTATTTACACTCTCCGGCGGAGATACCAGAATGTTGAGTTGCGAGTTTCTAAGAGGTATCGAAGGTATCTAAATGGTATCCAAAAGGTATCTAAACGGTATCCGAACGGTATCTGATCTGTAGACCGAGGTTCGCCCATAACGACACCTCGGTCCTCCCTACCCTAGTAAATTGGGGGTGGATGTTGAGGAAAGCTGCCCAATCGCGACGAGCCCGAAAGACAACGCCTGGGACCTAAGAAGGGGCAGTACCGCATCTTTGCGCGGGAGTTCGAGGCCGCGCATGGG